ACTCTCACCCTACACACTGGGTTTCTTACTGTTCTCTGCAAGTGTACATACATCATGGGCAGATTTGTTCTTTAACTTTGTTATGTTTTTCCCATTCACCTTTGTCAAAATTTGACTCTTTCAAGGATCAGTTTACATTGTAATTCCTATAGATCCTTTCCCTGGTGGTCCCAGCCTTTAATCTTCTTTCCATAACTTAATGTAGTTATTGTCAGGCTGGCGCGGCTAATCCTCCGCCTAGTGGCGCTGGCACACCGGGTTCTAGTCCTGGTCGGGGCGCCGGATTCTGTCCCGGTTGCCCCTCTTCCAGGCCAGCTCTCTGCTATGGCCCGGGAGTGCAGTGGAGGATGGCCCAAGTGCTTGGGCCCTGCACCCCATGGGAGACCTGGAGAAGCATCTGGCTCCTGCCATCGGATCAGTGCAGTGCGCCAGCCGCCGCGTGCCAGCCGTGGCGGCCTTGGAGGGTGAACCAACGGCAAAAGGAAGACCTTTCTCTCTGCCTCTCTCTCACTGTCCACTCTGCCTGTTAAAAAAAAAAAAATGTAGTTATTGTCTTGTGGAATTGGGTGTTAGTAAACCACCCGTGTAAATGCAAAGCCTAAAATGGGGGCCCATGTTGTGGCATAGCAGGTTAAGCCGCCAGCATCCCATGTGGGTGCCAGTTGGAGTCCTGGCTGCTCCACTTCCGATCTAGTTCCTTGCTAACATGCCTGGGAAAGCAACAGAAAATGGCTCAAGTGCTTGGGCCCCTGCACTCATATGGGAGACCTGGAAGAATCTCCTGGCTCCTAGCTGCAGTCTGGGCCAGCTCTGGCTGTTGCAGCCATTTGGGGGTAAACCAGCAGATGGAAGGTCTCTGTCTCTATCTCTCCCCCACCCACTACTCTGTAACTCTGCCTTTCAAATAAAATAAGTAAATCTTTTTTTTTTTTTTTTTTTTTTTGACAGGCAGATTTGATAATCCCAGAGAGACACAGATAAGAAGTTCATCTCATTGCTGTTGGTTCACCCTCCAATGGCCGCCGCGGCCGGCGCGCTGCGGCCGGTGCACCGCGCTGATCCGATGGCAGGAGCCAGGAGCCAGGTGCTTTTCCTGGTCTCCCATGGGGTGCAGGGCCCAAGCACCTGGGCCATCCTCCACTGCACTCCCTGGCCACAGCAGAGAGCTGGCCTGGAAGAGGGGCAACCGGGACAGAATCCGGCGCCCCGACCGGGACTAGAACCCGGTGTGCCGGCGCCGCTAGGTGGAGGATTAGCCTAGTGAACTGCGGCGCCGGCCAAAATAAGTAAATCTTAAGAAGAAAAAAAGCACCCTAACGTGATGAGAGTTCTTACCCTTTTTTTAAATTTTTATTTGTTTTACTTGAAAGAGTTACACAGAGGAGAGGCAGAGAGAAAGAGGGAGAGGGGGAGGAGCAGAGGGAGGGGGAGATCTTCCATCCGATGGTTCACTCCCCAATTTGTTGCAACGGCCAGAGCTGTGCCGATCCGGAGCCAGGAGCCAGGAGCTTCTTCCGGATCTCCCATGTGGGTGCAGGGGCCCAAGGACTTGGACCATCTTCTACTGCTTTCCCAGGCCACAGCAGAGAGCTGGACAGGAAGTAGAGCGGCCAGGTCTTGAACCAGCGCCCATATGGGATGCTGGCACTTCACCAGAGCATTAACCCACTGCGCCACAGCGCTGGCCCTAGTTCTTACCTTTTCTAGGAAAAGACATTTATATTTGTATCTGCAGCACATTACTCCTTTGGTTGGGCTCTAATCCTGCCTCTCTCTCCTTCCTGAGGACCCCATTCTCTCTACTTTTATGGTGTCTTTTTCCACAGCACTGAAGTGTCCTTGATACCTTAAACACCAAATAGATAACTTTGCTCTACCCACATTCTATTTTTTAAAAAGATTTGTTTTATTTATTTGAAAGGCAGAGAGAGAAAGAGAATCTCCATTCATTGGTTCTCTCTGCAGATGGCTGCAACAGAAGGGTCTGTGCCAGGCTGCAGCGTGCCTGAGCTCTCTCTCGGTCTCCTGCACGGGTGGCAGGAGTACATATGCTTGGGTCATTTTCTGATTTCCCACGTGCATTAATGGAACTGGATGGGAAGCAGGGATGCCAGGCCTGGAACCGGCGCTGAGATATGGGATGCGGCTGTTGCTAGCAGCGGCTCATCCTGCTAACATAACGCCAGTCCCTCTATTCCACTTTGTTCTGTAGCTTCTGTGCCATTTTTCTGATTCCCTTCAGAGTAGAACGTAGAAGGGCTGTTTTACTCCCTTATCACAGCTTCAGTTTGCTTTGCTCGATCTGTTGTCCCTGCCTGTCCCCTGACAGTGTCCTCTGTGTTGTCACATCCTCGTTGGGTACCTGATCATCCTGCTTGACTGCTCCACACTGTCTGTGGTTACCCCTTCTTGAAACGTTTGGCTCTTGGCTTTTGGATCACACCTCTGCCTGGCTTTCCTTATGCCTTCCTGACGCCGCTGCTCCTCTGTGGCCAGCTCTGTGTTTCTGGCCGCTCTCTCTGAGTCTGCCACCTTGTCTGTATTCCTTTGTTTCCCAATCTGTGACTGCTGGGGAAGCTCTTTCTTCTGCTCCTCTCTCAGCTCCAGGGCTCTAGTAATAAGAATGTGTTTATGCTAATGACTTGCAGACCTCTGCCCAAGTTTCCAGCTTTTGTAGCTAGCACTTGGTTGGTGTTTCCATTTGGATTCCTGGTGGGTACCTCATACTTTGACCTAAGAATGTAATATTTTTGCACACATACCCTCTCCCCCACTCTTTTCCTCCCTGTCTCCATTTCTTCTTCCCTTCTTATTCCTAGTCTTTTACACTATATTAATTGGCATCAATTGTCGTTAAAAAACTTAGCTATCATCCTTACTTCTACCTTTCCCAACTGTAATATCAAGTTGGCAAGTAATTTCTATCAGTTTATTATTTTATTTTATTTGTATTTTTTTTTAATTTGAAAGAGCGCTTACATCTTCTGATTCACTCTGCAAATGCCTGCCACAGCTGGTGCTGGGCCAGGCCAAAGTCAGGAGCCTAGAACCCAATCCAGGTCTCAAGTGGGTGGTAGGAACCTAACCACTTGAGCAGTCACCTGCTGCTGCCTAGGGTCCACATTAATAGGAAGCTAGAATCAGAAGCATAGCCAGGACTCAAACCCAGGAACTCTGATTTGGAATGTGGGCCAAATGGCACCTGAAACACTATACCAAATACTTACCCCATGAACACTCTTATTTCTGTTACTACTTCTTCTTCTTCTTCTTCTTCTTTTTTTTTTTTTTTGACAGGCAGAGTGGACAGTGAGAGAGAGAGACAGAGAGAAAGGTCTTCCTTTGCCGTTGGTTCACCCTCCAGTGGCTGCCCGGCCGGCGCGCTGCGGCCGGCACACTGCACTGATCCGATGGCAGGAGCCAGGTGCTTTTCCTGGTCTCCCATGGGGTGCAGGGCCCAAGCACTTGGGCCATCTTCCACTGCACTCCCGGGCCATAGCAGAGAGCTGGCCTTGAAGAGGGGCAACCAGGACAGAATCCGGCGCCCCGACCGGGACTAGAACTTGGTGTGCCGGCGCTGCTAGGCGGAGGATTAGCCTAGTGAGCCGCGGCGCTGGCCTACTTCTTAACTGTCAAGTCACTTTTCTAGTGTCACTTCCTTAAAGTCCTTTCCTGACCATTCTGGTTTACTTATTTGACAGGCAGAGTTAGACAGTGAGAGACAGAGAGAAAGGTCTTCCTTCCGTTGGTTCACCCCCCAAATGGCCGCTACGGCCGGCGTGCTGCACTGATCTGAAGCCAGGAGCCAGGTGCTTCCTCCTGGTCTCCCATGCGGGTGTAGGGCCCAAGGGCCATCCTCCAGTGCCCTCCCGGGCCACAGCAGAGAGTTGGACTGGAAGAGGAGCAACTGGGACTAGAACCCGGCGCAAACATGGCATTCTGGCGCCACAGGCAGAGGATTAGCCAAGTGAGCCATGGCACCGGCCCCGACCATTCTGTTTTAAAAATGCCCTGGGTTACCGTATCCCATTAGCTTTATTTACTTGTTTGTTGAGTGTCCCTTCCCCTATTTGCACATACTCTCCAGTATAAGTTTCTTTCTTTCTTTTTTTTTTTTTTTTAAAGATGTGTTTTATTTATTTGAAAGAGTTACAGAGAGAGGTAGAGCCACAGAAAGAGAGAGAGAGAGAGGTCTTCCATGCGCTGGATCACTCCTCAAGTGACTGCAATGGCCAGAGCTGAGCCAATCTGAAGCTGGGAGCCAGGAGTTTCCTCTGGGTCTCCCATGCAGGTTCAGGGTCCCAAAGACTTAGGCCATCTCTACTGCTTTCCCAGGCCATAACAGAGAGCTGAATCAAAAGTGGAGCAGCCGGGACTTGAACTGGCACCCATGTGGGATACCGGTGTTGCAGTTGGAGGATTAACCTGTGCCACAGCACCAGCTCCCAGTATAAGTTTTTATTTTTTTATTTTTTTATTTTTTTGACAGGCAGAGTGGACAGTGTGAGAGAGAGACAGAGAGAAAGGTCTTCCTTTTTGCCGTTGGTTCACCCTCCAATGGCCGCCGCTGCAGCCGGCGCACCGCGCTGATCCGATGGCAGGAGCCAGGAGCCAGGTGCTTTTCCTGGTCTCCCATGGGGTGCAGGGCCCAAGCACTTGGGCCATCCTCCACTGCACTCCCTGGCCACAGCAGAGAGCTGGCCTGGAAGAGGGGCAACCGGGACAGAATCCGGCGCCCTGACCGGGACTAGAACCCGGTGTGCCGGCGCCGCAAGGTGGAGGATTAGCCTATTGAGCCACGGCGCCGGCTCCCAGTATAAGTTTTTTAAAGGCAGCAGTGTCCTTATTTTTGTTTACTTCTGAATATAGTAAAATCTCAAAAACTTAGTAGGGCCGCAGATATTTGTTGAATGAGTGATTACTGTTCTTTGTTAAATTATTTTCTTTACTTATGCACTGAGTTAAAGAGAGTGAAATAATGTCCTTTTTTCTCTGTCTAGTTTGGACTCCTGGAATCTCAGCTACGTGAGAGCCCGGCTCCGCGCTCTTAGCCGACGGGATGTTCTGCCGATGGCTCTCGATTATCCGGAGGCGGAGAGCCAGCCCAGCACGGCGGAGGTGCTCCTCAGCGAGAGGCAGTACGTCAGCGGCCGAGGCACGTGCTGCCGCTCTGCCCGCGCAGGCCCAGGTGGTCATCTGTGGGGGTGGCATCATGGGCACGTCTGTGGCCTATCACCTCTCTAAGATGGGGTGGAAGGACGTCGTCCTGTTGGAGCAGGGCAGGTAAGGATCTCACTGGCCTTGGCTGTGGCGGAACAGCACTCACTGTGTAGGGTTCTGTTATTACGCCTTCTTTCAGGATTATGTCCCACTGACAGCTAATTAAATGTTGCTCAGTAGCATGAGAAGACTCAAGGTTAAATCTGTTTTTTTTTTTTTTTTTAATATTTATTTGTTTAAAAGGCAGAGTAAATGAGGGAGAAGGAGAGTCAGAGAGAGCTTCCATTTGCTGGTTCACTCCCTAAATGGCTGCAGCAGCCAAGGCTGGGCCAGGCCAAAGCCAGGAGCCTATAACTCCAACTGGATCTCCCACGTGGGTGGCAGGGATCCAAGCACTTGGGCCGTATTCCACTGCCTTCCCATGAGTTTTAGCAGGGAGATGGATCAGACATTGAGCAACTGGGACTTGAACTGGCACCCATATGGCATGAGGTATCACAGGTGGCGGCCTAACTCACCACGCCACAATGCCAGTTCCAAGGTAGAATCTTTTGTACTTTGTTTAGTGATGCCTAATAATGATTGTGCTTTCTGGTTTTTAGAGAGGTGGCAGATTTAATGAAACAAGTGTTTTTGAAGGATATATTTGGTTTTATGTTGCTCTTTTTGTTATAGTCATTCAACAGCATAAATCCTGGGGCTCAAGAGCTTTCTCTAAGCAGAAGTGAACCTGGCTACATTCTCCCTTTATTTTTATTACTTTTTTCTGTAAATAATTTTAGACTTACAGAAAAATCAAGTTCCTGTATTCCATTCACCTGTCAATAATATCTGACATTACCCGGCGCCACGGCTCACTAGGCTAATCCTCCGCCTAGCGGCGCCGGCACACCGGGTTCTAGTCCCGGTCGGGGCGCCGGATTCTGTCCCGGTTGCCCCTCTTCCAGGCCAGCTCTCTGCTGTGGCCAGGGAGTGCAGTGGAGGATGGCCCAGGTGCTTGGGCCCTGCACCCCATGGGAGACCAGGAAAAGCACCTGGCTCCTGGCTCCTGCCATCGGATCAGCGCGGTGCGCCGGCCGCAGCGCGCCGGCTGCGGCGGCCATTGGAGGGTGAACCAACGGCAAAGGAAGACCTTTCTCTCTCTCTCTCTCTCTCACTGTCCACTCTGCCTGTCAAAAACAACAAAAAAAAAAAAAAAAAAAATCTGACATTATGAATCTTGCAGCTAATGAACCAATATTAGTGGATTAGTATTAACCTCACTTTATACTTAATTAGCATTATCCTGGATTCCATACGTGTTTCTGGCTCCTGACTCCCATCTTCCTGCTCATGTAAACCCTGGAAGATTTTTCTCCTTTTTCCTTAATAACCTTATTCTGTTACAACTTGCCGTTGAGGGCACCACATAACATTTCATTGACATCTCTCCCTGAACTCCATGAAACTGTGACAGCTTCTCAGACACCCTTTGTTTTTGGAGACCTTAATGGTTTTGAGTTTTCTGTAACATTTTAGTCTTTGATAAGATTTTTGATAGACCTAGATACTATCCAGATCTAAGTAGGTACAAATTACACAAAGATACTTGATCTTAGAAAACTCCACAGAATTCTGGCCGGCGCCGCGGCTCACTAGGCTAATCCTCCGCCTTGCGGCTCTGGCACACCGGGTTCTAGTCCCGGTCGGGGCGCCGGATTCTGTCCTGGTTGCCCCTCTTCCAGGCCAGCTCTCTGCTGTGGCCAGGGAGTGCAGTGGAGGATGGCCCAAGTACTTGGCCCTGCACCCCATGGGAGACCAGGATAAGTACCTGGCTCCTGCTATCAGATCAGCGCGGTGCGCCGGCCGCAGCGCGCCAGCCGTGGCGGCCATTGGAGGGTGAACCAACGGCAAAGGAAGACCTTTTTCTCTGTCTCTCTCTCTCACTGTCCACTCTGTCCACTCTGCCTGTCAAAAAAAAAAAAAAAAAACTCCACAGAATTCATCAAGGCGGGGCTGGCATTGTGGTGTAACAGGTTGAGCTTCACCTGCAATGCCCTTGGTTCGAGACCTGGCTGCTCCCTGCTAATATGCCTTGGAGAACAGTGGAAGATAACGCAAGTGCTGGGCCCCTGCACCCACATGGGAGACCCGGAAGAAGCTCCTGGCATCGGATTGAGGCCATTTGGGGAGTAAGCCAGTAGATGGAATATCTTGTGTGCTCTCTCTTTATCATTATCTTTCTCTCTGTAACTCTGCCCTTCAAATAAAAGAATAACTCTTAAAGAAAAAAAAAAGTAAGCTGCAGACCTGATGCCCCATTCACTGTAAGCATTTCAGAATATATGCTCAAAAACACAGGAGCACCCTCCCATATAACCACCCTGCAACCATGTGCATCAGGAAACCTTGGATATAACAGTACCATTAGGTTCCTAGACCTCTCTTAGATTGCACCGTGCATCCCAGTCCTATCCCTTTCCTTTCTGACCAGGATCTTGTCCAGGAATATGAGTTGTTTGGTTGCTGTGTCTCTTCAGCCTTGAAAGTTCTTCAGTCCTTCTTGCCCCTCTTGTCTGACAGTTTTAAAAAGTACAAGCATTTTGCTCTTTGAGGTAATCCTCAACCTGGATTCAACTAAATGTTTTCTCGTGATCAGACTCAGATTATATAATTTTTAAAAACACATGCGAGGGGCCGGCGCCGCAGCTCAATAGGCTAATCCTCTGCCTGCGGCACCGGCACACCAGGTTCTAGTCCCGGTCAGGGCGCCGGATTCTGTCCTGGTTGCCCCTCTTCCAGGCCAGCTCTCTGCTGTGGCCAGGGAGTGCAGTGGAGGATGGCCCAGGTGCTTGGGCCCTGCACCCCATGGGAGACCAGGAGAAGCACCTGGATCCTGCCATCAGATCAGCGCAATGTGCCTGCTGCGTCACGCCGGCCGCGGTGGCCATTGGAGGGTGAACCAACGGCCAAAAGGAAGACCTTTCTCTCTGTCTCTCTCTCTCTCTGTCCACTCTGCCTGTCAAAAAAAAAAAAAAAAAAAAAGAAAGAGGCTTGCTTCCCTCCCTTCTTCCCTCAGGTTGATTTATTTATTTGAAAGACAGAGCAGCACAGAGAGAAATTTTCCATCTGCTGGTTCACTCCCCAGCTGGCTGTAAAAGCTGGGTCTGGCCTGGGCAGAACTTTATGCTGCATGAAGCCGAGATCCAGGAGCTGCATCTGGGTCTCCTACATGGGTGGCAGGGGCCTAAGCTCTTGGGCAATCATCCATTTTCTTCCCAGGCACATAAACAGGGAGCTGGCTCAGAAGCAGAGCCGTCAGGACTAGAACTGGCATTCGATATGGGAGGCCAGCATCAAAAAGCAGCAGCTTAACTCACTGTACCACATCATCCTTGAGAGTAGATTTTTCATAATGTAAATATTTCTTCATGGAAGGCCTTAGGGAATTTTTTTGTTTGTTTAATTTGTTGTTCCAAGATCATTTAATACATTAGAATTGACATTTATGAGGCTGGCGCTGTGGTGTAGCAGTTAAAGCCGCCACCTGCAGTGCCAGCATCCTATATAGGCACCAGTTCGAGTCTTGGCTCCTCCACTCCTGATCTAGCTCTCTGCAATGGCCTGGGAAAGCAGCAGAAGATGGCCCAACCCCTTGTGCCCCTGTACCCACATGGGAGACCCAGAAGAAGCTCCTGGCTCCTGCTTCCGATCAGCACAGCTCCGGCTGTTGTGGCCAATTGGGGAGTGAACCAGCGGATGGAAGATGTCTCTCTCTCTCTCTTTCTGCCTCTCCTTCTCCTCTCTTTGTGTAATTCTGACTTTCAAATAAATAAATCTTTAGAGAAAAAAAAAAGAATTGACATACAGTATTTTGAGCTTGAAAAATTTTTTTTAAATAATCTGCTTTTGTTATCTTAATAGAATAGTTGTGGGTTTGTTTGTTTATGAGGCAGCATTGGAGGTGGCGGGGAGAGAGAGCTTCTGTCCATTGGTTCACTTCCTAGATGGTCACAACTGCCAGGGCTGTGCCCTGGTCTCCCATGTCAGTACAGGGGTCCAAGCACCTGGGCCATCTTCTGCTGCTTTTCCAGGTGCATTAGCAGGGAGCTGGATGGGAGCGGAACAGTTTGGTACCAAACTGCACTCATATGGGCTGTGCTACAATGCCGGCCACTGAGCTTGACTTTTTTTTTTTAAGATTTTATTTATTCATTTATTTTTTAAAGATTTATTTATTTGAAAGGCAGAGTTACAGAGATACAGAGGCAGAGGGAGAGAGAGAGAGGAAAAAGAGGAAGAGAGGGGTCTTCCATCCGCTGGTTCTCTCTCCAAATGGCCCCAACGGCCAGAGCTGGGCCAATCTAAAGCCAGGAACCAGGAGCTTTTCTCCCCCCTCCCCCCAGCCTGACCTTTTAAAAAAGTTGCACTGGGTCTGGTACTTGGGCCTAGCCAGTAAAGCCTCTGCCTGTGGCGCTGGCATCTGATATTGCTGGTTTGTGTCCTGACTGTTCCATTTCCAGTCCAGCTCCCTGCTAATGTGCCTCGGAAAGCAGCCGAAGATGGGCCCAAGTGCTTGGGCCCCCTCACCCACATGGGAGACCGGAAGAAGCTCCTGGCTCCTGGCTCCTGGCTTCGGATCAGCCCAGCTCCAGCTGTTGTAGCCATTTGGGGAGTGAACCAGTGGATGGAAGACCTCTCCATCTCTGCCTCTCTCCCTCTGTAACTCTGCCTTTCAAATAAAATAAATAAATCTTTAAAAAAAATTAAGCCTAGCTTCTTAAAAGGTTTGGTCCTTCCTTTTGTTAGTCATTGTCCTTTATTATCTCTACCTCCCTTCTTCTCTTAGAGCAGTGGTTCTCTACTCTGGCATTGTCTGGGGAACGTGGACCAAATTCTAATGCCCAGGCTTCCCAGAACAAACCAGAACCTCTGGAAGTGTTGCTTAGTGTCTGTGTTTTTTTATTTTTAAAATTTCCAGGGATCTCTATTGTATACTCAAGGTGGGAGCCACTATCAGAGCTGCTCAAGGGGAGCTGTCCTGGTAGAACTGTCACAAGAGGTATAGGCAGCAGCCAGAGTTCACGGAACTCCCATCCCAGGTCGAGTTCTACATAGTGGCTGTGCTGTGTGTCAGTCCTCGGTGTGCTGCCAGTCTGACCTGAGAAATACACTCATTCCAGTCAGGTCAGTAAGCCAGAACAGGTTAGGCAGTTGATGAGTGCCAAATGAGTTGGAAAAAATGACCTGCTTGCAACTACCACCGGCTTTTTTGACTTATGAGTCCTTTGTAAAACTGGGTATTTGGGCCTAAGCAATGCTTACTACAAATTAGAGATCGTTGTTTTGCTGTGAGTTTATTTTTGAGTAGACAATGGATTTATGTGACTCAAAGTTGAAAACATAGGAAAGAATATGTGGGAAAAGTCTTTCTTTCATTGCTGACTTGATGACAATGGTTTCCTTCTGTGGAGGCTGAGTCCAGACCCCTTCTCTCCATACACACAAATGTGTATCCATGGTGAGGGGTGTGGAGGAGTCATAATTTATTTTTTTCCTTTTCTTACACATGTGGTAGCTCACCTTAAATACTTGTCTTCATTTTCATTTTTATTATTATTTCATTTCTCATTCTTCAATAGCTGTATAATATCCATATATAAATGAAATGATTCAGGATTTTAGTCCCATATCAATAGACATTTAGATTATTTGAATCTTTTAGTATTTCAGACAATTCTATAATGAGAAACCATTTTTTTTCCAAAGATTTATTTATTTATTTGAAGGGCAGATTTACAGAGAGGCAGAGGCAGAGAGAGATGGTCCTCCATCCACTGGTTCACTCCCCAAATGGCTGGAATGGCCAGAGCTGGGCTGATCCAAAGCTAGGAGCCAGGAGCTTCTTCCAGGTTTTCCATGGGGGTGCAAGGACCCAAGGCCCTGAGCCATCTTTTACAGGTTTCCCAGGCCATAGCAGAGAGGTGGATTGGAAGTGGAGCAGCCAGGACTTGAAGCAGTGCCCATGTGGGATGTCAGCACTGCCAGCGGCGGCTTTACCCACTGTGCCACAGTGCTGCCCCCATGAGGAACCTTGAACTTGTATTCACAGCTATGCGAGTCTACTTAATAGCACTTTGCATTCATCCTCCAGACTGGCTGCTGGCTCCACGCGGTTCTGTGCTGGCATCCTGAGTACCGCCAGGCACCTGACCATTGAACAGAAGATGGCAGACTACTCCAACAAACTCTACCAGCAGTTAGAACAGGAAACAGGGATCCAGACAGGTAAGCAGGTCATCTGCTGGTTTGACTCGGTATTGTATTTGGTCCCGTACTAGGTTTGACCGGGGATTTGGTAATGAAGACTTGGGTTTTGGCCCAGGCTCTGTCACTAGCCAGGTGTTAGGCAGCTCCCTTAGCTTGTTGAGCTGTCTCCGGTTTCCCTATAAAATAAGGGAATTCAGTCAGAGCTTGTAATTCTTGTATTATGAATTGGTCCATTTAAAAATAGTAAACTTGGCAGCTGAACAGGAGGAAAAGAAGTGTAGGTGCTTGACAGTGAAACTGTAGGTTGACCCACTGATGTTTACCAGTTGCTACTAAGTATGTGGTTTTTTATAAAGCATAGACATGTATTTCTTACCTGTATCATTGCAGAGTGGACAGTGAGAGAGAGACAGAGAGAAAGGTCTTCCTTTGCCGTTGGTTCACCCTCCAATGGCCGCCGCGGCCGGCGCGCTGCGGCCGGCGCAGCGCGCTGATCCGATGGCAGGAGCCAGGAGCCAGGAGCTTTTCCTGGTCTCCCATGGGGTGCAGGGCCCAAGCACCTGGGCCATCCTCCACTGCACTCCCTGGCCACAGCAGAGGGCTGGCCTGGAAGAGGGGCAACCGGGACAGAATCCGGCGCCCCGACCGGGACTAGAACCCGGTGTGCCGGCGCCGCAAGGCGGAGGATCAGCCCAGTGAGCTGCGGCGCCGGCCAAGTATGTGTTTTTTTATAAAGCATAGACATGTATTTCTTACCTGTATCATTGGTGGAAAAGCTAAGTAGTACTGTAGTAAGTAGGAACTGTTCCCAGAACAACAAGACTGATTCTACAGCTTGACCCCATGCGATAACAGGTGGAAAGAGAGCCTGTCAGTGGTTACAAGCTCATGGTTACAGAAGCCCAGAGACAAGCTAGCCAGAAACTTCACTCTCCTCACCCTGAGGGACATCACTGAGTCACCATGATGTTGTTGACGTCAGCCTGGCAAGAGCTGAGAGGCAAGGGCTATAGAGTGAACATGGGAAAGGTACCTCTGTGCTGTCTCCAGGTTTTACTGGCAGAGCTGCCTCTGCATGTGGGGACTGTTGGACACAGTTCCTTTTACGTGGAGTGAATTTCATGGCAACAGCTGCTTGAATCCAGAACTGATTAGGATTGGAGTCAGAAGAGGATCCACAGAAAGGGCCAGAGATGGAGCGGCTGAGTCCAGTTACTGATGCTTTTTTGAGCCCGCATTGCTCAGCTGGTTGGATTTGAGAAGAATCAGTGTCATAGGCTTCTGTTTCATAAGGTTGGTTGTAGGTCAGTCTGGAACTCCTTGCTCGGCCTGATTGGTCTTGGATGCTGTGGAGCAGGGTGGGTTGAATCCCCGTTCAACCTCCTGAGGAGTTAGGCAAGGGAGTGTCGGGGGAATCCAGAATCTACCAGTCCCATGGAAGTATACCAGAGATGCCCTGGAAGATGACTTGGGGGGCCTATGGCCATGGGGAACTCTCTGTTGACTGGTGGTATTCACGTGTGATACTGTGATAATTGTTTCTCAGTGGACTGCTTTTCAATCACTGAATAAAGATGAAATGACATGCACAGTTTAGAGTTAATGAGAGGAATGGTACATGCTGATCCTCTGAAAAGAATTCACCCAGATAAAGTGTGTGTTAATGACTTTTTAATCTGAAAGACTGGACCATTCTGATTCTACAGCCTTTGTACTGAATATGAGTTTCTGAATTGCTTCTGTTTGCATGTGATAAGTTTTAAAGTGAATGGAGTAAATGTGATCATCTAATTTTTTAAAGGATTTATTTGAAACACAGAAGGAAGGAAGGAAAGAGAAAGAGATCTCCCACCTGCTGGTTCACTCCCCAAATGACCCTAACAGCCAGAACTGGGCCAGACATGGGTGGCAATAACTCATGTACTTGAGCCATCTTGCACTGCTTCCCAGGTACATTAGCAAGGGTCTGGATTGGAAGCAGAGTAGCCAGGACTTGAACCAGTACTCAGATACAGGATGCTGGTGTTCCAGGTGGTGGTTTAACCTGCTGCACTGCAATTCCTGCCCCTTAATAATATTTTATTTTATTATTATTTTTATTTGACAGGTAGAGTTATAGACAGAGAGAGAGAGAGACAGAGAGAAAGGTCTTCCTTCTGTTGGTTCACCCCCACAAATGGCCAGGAGCCAGGTGCTTCTTCCTGGTCTCCCATGTGGGTGCAAGAGCCCAAGCACTTGGGCCATCCTCCACTGTCCTTCCGGGCCACAGCAGAGAGCTGGACTGGAAGAGGAGCAACCGGGACTAGAACCTGGTGCCCATATGGGATGCCAGCACCGCAGGCGGAGGATTAGCCAAGTGCGCCACGGCGCCGGCCCCAACCTTAATAATATTTTGAAAGTATACCCTATATTGTTTGATCTTAAAATAAGAAAAGGTCATTCTTTTTCAGTGAGTGTTGAAGATCCATTAGCTGCAGATGCATAGGTTTACTTGCAAGCTCTCTGTTCTCCATCGGTTCATGTGTCTTATTTTTTGCCAGTATCATGTTGTTGTTTTTTTAAACTTTTTTTCTATTTTTTTTTTTAAGATTTATGTAATTATTTGAAAGGCAGAGTTACAAAGAGGCAGAGGCAGAGAGAGAGGCCTTCCATTTGCTGGTTCACTCTCCAAATGGCCACAACAACTGGTGCTACGCCATTCTGAAGCCATGAGTCTGGAACTTCTTACAGGTCTCCCACGTGGATGCAGGGGCCCTAGGACTTGGGCTATCTTCCACTGCTTTCCCAGATCATAGCAGAGAGCTTGATCAGAAGTGGAGCAGTCGGGCCGGCGCCGCGGCTCACTAGGCTAATCCTCCGCCTAGCAGCTCCGGCACACCGGGTTCTAGTCCCGGTTGGGGCGCCGGATTCTGTCCCGGTTGCCCCTCTTCCAGGCCAGCTCTCTGCTGTGGCCGGGGAGTGCAGTGGAGGATGGCCCAGGTGCTTGGGCCCTGCACCCCATGGGAGACCAGGAAAAGCACCTGGCTCCTGGCTCCTGCCATCGGATCAGCGCGCTGGCCGCGGCGGCCATTGAAGGGTGAACCAACGGCAAAAGGAAGACCTTTCTCTCTGTCTCTCTCTCTCTCACTGTCCACTCTGCCTGTCAAAAAAAAAAAAAAAAAAAAAAAGAAGAAGAAGAAGTGGAGCAGTCAGGACTCGAACTGGTGCCCTCATTGGATACTGGCACTGCAGACAACGTTTTTACCTGCTATGCCACAGCTTCGGCTCCCAGTATCATGTTTTTTAATTACCACAGATTTGTTTTGTATTTCAGTCAAGTAATATAATACGTCCTGCTTTGTTCTTTTTTGCACAAGATTACTTTTGGCTATTTGGGATCTTTTGTGGTTCCAAATATATAGGTATATGTATATATATATACCTATATATACACACACACACAATTATATATAAATAAGCTTTGTGAAAAATCTCGATGTTCTGATGGAAATTGCATTGCATCTCTATATCACTTCGGATGGTGTGGAGATTCTAACAAGGCTGATCCTTCCAGTCCGTGAATACAGGATGCCTTCCCATTTTTTTGTGTCCTCATCAATTTCTTTCACCAGTGTTTTATAGGTTTCTTTGAAGAGACCTTTCGGTTTTTAGTTAAATTTATTTGTAGGTATTTTTTTTCTTTTTAGCTATTGGAAATGGGATTGTTTTCTTTACTTCCTTATCTGGTAATATGCTATTGGTGTATAACCATGCTACCGATTTTTGCACATTGATTTTGTATCCTGCAGTTTTGCTAAACTTGCTTATTTCTAATAGTTTGTTGGTGGAGGGAAATTTTGTATGTATGAGATCATGTTGCCTGCATGTAGTGACAAATTGACTTTTCCTTCCCAATTTGAGTAGTTTTTGTTTCTTTTTCCTATCTAATTGCTCTAGCTGGGACTTCTAATGCTATGTAGAATAAAAGTAGGCATCCTTATCTTATTCCAGATCCTAGAAAGACCTCAGCTTTTCCGATTCAGTATGATGTTGCCTCTTGGCTTGTTAATATGTAACCCTTATTTTGTTGAGATATATTCCTTCTTTACATAATTTTCTCAGTTTTTATCATGAAGGGATGTTAAATTTTATTTTATTTTATTTATTTATTTATTTAACAGGCAGAGTGGGCAGTGAGAGAGACAGAGAGAAAGGTCTTCCTTTGCCGTTGGTTCACCCTCCAATGGCTGCCGCAGCCAGCGTGCTGTGGCCGGTGCACCGCGCTGATGCGATGGCAGGAGCCAGGTGCTTCTCCTGGTCTCCCATGGGGTGCAGGGCCGAAGTACTTGGGCCATCCTCCACTGCACTCCCTGGCCACAGCAGAGAGCTGGCCTGGAAGAGGGGCAATCGGGACAGAATCCAGCGCCCCGACCGGGACTAGAACCCGGTGTGCCGGCGCCGCTAGGCGGAGGATTAGCCTAGTGAGCTGAAGCGCCGGCCGGGATGTTAAATTTTATCAAGTGCCTTTTCTGCCTCTATTGAGATGTATGGATTTTGTCTTTAATTCCATTGATGTGATGCAGCGTGTTTTCTGCCTTGTGTATGTTGAACCATCCTTTGCATCCTGGGATGAAACTCACTTGGGCATGGTAAGTAAGGTTTTTAATGTGCTGTTAGATTTGGCTTGTTAGTGTTTGGTTGAACTGTTTTGTTTTTTACAAACTCTTGTGTCGAGGGATGACTTTAAACAGATTGCAGTGAGGAGCTGCTCGGCACTTACGGAACCCCGACCCAGCAGCAGGTCGTCCACGAATGGTTTAGTGCCTGCTCCCCATGAACATGAGTTGCATGAGAGATTTTTTTATTTTTAAAGATTTTATTATTTGAAAGACCAGAGGCAGAGGCTTCCATCCACTGGTTCACTCCTGAAATGCCTGCAACTGCCAGAGCTGGGCCGATCCAAAGCCGGTAGCCAGGAGCTTCTTCCGGGTCTCCCATGCTGGTGCAAGGGCCCAAGTAGTTGGTCCATCTTCTGGTGC